GTCAAAAATGTCAACAGTATACTTTGACTTAATGACGCTTTGATCAAATCATCTCAGTCAGAGCAGTTGTATGAACTGAACCACGGGTCTGCTAACAGCAGAATGAAACAGATGGCCTCAAAGCCTTTCGAAGTGCTTTGCAGATCTAAAGGTTTTTTTATGGCTTCTAAGTTTACTGGAGAAGGTATACAGTGTGGCATCTTCACTTCCATGTATAGATACCACTGGAGGTGTGAGCAGTGCGTTGGGCTCCTTGTTACTGAAAAAGAGAGGTGCTACACTGTTTTGGAATTGGCACGGGTGTGCTGATTACTCATCCTTAACTCAGCTGTGTATTTTCCTGGGATCACATGGCTCCTGTGTGAGCCCAGGAATACATGTGGCTTTTTTAAGGAAGTACTGACAGATGTGTTTACCCATGCCTGTTCCAAGGCAGCTTTTCAGCTTTGAACCCAAAGTACCGCACATCCCTGCAGTGATCTATGAATTTTATTCCTGCATTAAACTCTCTTCCTCTCAAGCTGTTTTGGGGTGGCGAGGCTTAGATTGCCTTGGGCTTCATGCAGTTCATCAGCTCTTAACATCTTTAGCACTTCTTTAACAGCTTTGCTTTCTCTTGTTGTAATGGAAAACAGAACTGAGAGTTCAGTTAAGCTTTTAGAATTCTGAATAGGGGCTCAAGGATGATCAGTTCAGGTTGCTTTCTTGGTCAGATCTTTTAAATTATCTGTGATTAGGGTATGATTAAGTCTCTCAACATGGAATGAATGGATGCCAGGCTAACAAGTGTAGAGTGTATTGTTTTTAATAATATGGACCAGTAAAGCTATCAAGACTGTTCTGTGGTAGTCTGATCTCTATGGCCTGCCTATCTCTGTGTGGCATTGTATCTAACTCAGCCAGCCTTCTTCTGCTTCTGCTATTCAAACCGTTATAATTAACCAACACGGAGTATTATCAGCAAGCCCTAAATCTGGTACAACCAAATCCTGTGACTTGCGAAGGACACTTTCCTAGAAGGGCTAAGCATGACAAATAGCTATGCCAACTTTCCTTCCAGCCCCTCTCACCCACAAAAGAAAGTGACCAACTGCAGCAAAGCCCATCAACTCACAAGGCAAGTTAGTGGTCATGTTCAGTGACATACCAGAAAAGCAAGTAACAAAGTCACTTGTTTTTCGAAAAGTTTTTTAGAGTTTTTAAATTGGTGTTACATCTTTGCTGCATTGGTTCAGCACAGCTAAGGCTGTCTTCTGGATAATCTGGAGGCTGCTGTACTCTCATTTCATCCTCCCTTCTATCTTTGCCTTTAAAAGGGTGCAGCGGAATATTTCAAAATGTGTATTGCAATGAAACCTTTAAAAAGTCCCGCTGAAACTAGGCAGAGTTAATGTCTTCAAAAGGTTTTACCATCCCTGTTATTTTCATCCCATTCTGTCAAAAAACAGAGCAACTGAAGGCTTTTGGATGTTTCTCCAGGATAGCCTATGGGCAATTTTTTTAAACCCAACTTCAAATCTCGAAGAACTCAGATTGAATCAGTTTGCCTTCAGTTCTTGAATCAAAAATAAACAAACAAACAAATTGAATCATTCCCTGTTCAAATCTTGAATTTCCAATGGTAATCAAATTGGGGCTGATTCATACAGGCCTACTATTGTCCATCCATGTATCCATCCATCTAGTATCTCTCACAGTAACAATGGGAAAGAAAGAAGAAAAGGTGAATATGGAAATGAACAAAGAAAAAAACAATACTGTGTATGTCTCTTGACAGACTTCACTGACCCTCTTATAGTTCATCTTAATCTAGATGCAGTTTCAGAAAGTTTCACCTGAGCAATTGGAACATATATTTTATATATAGATATGTATGTAT